AGGTATCTATAACAGATATATCCACAAAATATTGTCAGAGGAGAATGTGGAGATTCATTTTTAGGGAACAAAGTTTATAAAGGCAAGGTAGAATGGATGAGCTTGGGAAAGGTTGATATTCAGGAGAGAGAATTTCAGAATGTAATTGAGTAGACCCGTGTAGCTAAAATAGAAAAATGCACCAGTAAGGACATTGATAGGAAGAAGGAAGTGGTCAAGATGTGAGAGGCTTTTAAAATGTTATCCTGGATATTTTGGAATTAATTCTGTATGCAACATGGACTCTTTAATGGTTTTTTGAGAAGACATGATATGATTCGATGTGTTTTAGAAAAGTTATTTTGGCAAAAGTGAGTGAAAATGAATTATGGTGGGAAAAAATATAGGGAAAAACATGTAGTCATAGTTCAAGAGGAAAATGAGAAAGGAATCGCTCTGGCACTATTAGGGTAGTTGGAAAGAGGGTCACCATGAGAGTTTTCAAAGGTAGAATTGGTTATTCTCTGTGAAGGTGAAAGAGAGGGATGTATGAAATGAAGCCTCCATGTTGAGCTTTTGTGATTAGGGAAGATGGCTGTGCCATTTACAAAGGTAAGAAGTCCAGAAGAAGTACTAATAGGTTTTGGCACAAGGAGATAAATTATGTATCAGACATGCTGAGTTAGGGGCCCTGGCATGACATCCATGCGGGAGATATCAAAGAAGAAATTTCAGGAAAGCTCAGGGCTATGATGGTGACCGAGGTCAAGGGAGTGAATAAGATTAGCAAAGGGTAATTTGTAGAAGTGAGACAGGATGGGGTACATTAGGGCAGGCAGCTGAACACTGAATCTTATAGAACATGTAAGGACAAAGCGGGGTCATGACAAGGGGACATTCCATCACTCATGGCCTGTAGGAAGCATATGGAATACTAGAAGTGTTAGAATGCTAATTTTATTGCTTCCAGACCTGCATAACTCATTTTCAAAGTCTTTTGGGTAAAAATATCTATAGGAAAAACCAGAGAAAATTGAGATCCTAAGTCAGGAAGTCAACAATGTTGATTAAGCACCAATCAGAAGCACAAATGCTTCACAAGCAAACCTCAGTAGATTCTGTTACGTGCCTGATAATCAGAATAGTCAATATGAAGGATCTTTCCCTAAGCAAAGTTTTGCTCAAGAATGCAGATATCTCTTCTCACTGTGCAACACTGGATACAATGGAAGTATAAATTGATAGCTGAAAAATTGTACTCTGTATAATTGTGAGTGTTTGAAGAGTAAGAGATATAATTGAAAAGGGGTGGTGAGAGTTTCCATAAGCAAGTTATCTAGCTCTTGGAGAGGGGGTGGCTGCTGATCTGGTCCAATCATCCTCTGGATATCCTTATCTCAACTCCTAACAGTCCTATCCACATTTTTTTTGCAACTGCCTGTTTAATTTTCTGTCTCTCCAGAGAGATCTTTAAAATCAACGAGGACACGGCCTGTGTAATCTAGAATACTTATCTCCAAAGTGCGATGCGTGCAGGGGGATGCAAGACTGTTTATTGGGACTACTAGAAGAAAATATTAGAACTTGCATCTCTCTTTGTTTTTTTTATCAATTTTTTAATGAATGTTTTATAATGTATATATTAGTATAATCTTACAAATACATGTGTTTTAAATAAATAAATATGTAAATATTGGGTTTGCTGCTCCAAAATATTTTTATTCATAGTGATGTGGAGTTAAAAAGTAGTTTGGAGATTACTGGTTTCAAGCATAATAATCAACAATAAAAATGGAAGGGAGAAAATAAGGAGTTAAGGATGGAGAAAGGAAAGGGAGGGAGGGAAGAAGGAAGAAAGCAACAAAGGATGCAAGGAAGGAAGGAAGGAAGGAAGAAAAGGAAGGGACAGAGGGAGGGACCATGGAACAACCTAGGAAAATCATTAATAGAAGGGTGGCTGAAGATGACTCTATGGGAGGTCAGGGGGCTGTTAGACCTTTTTTGCCTTGAGGGTGATGTGAAGACAGCAGGGCAATCACATGGCCCTTATCCCCTTATAAAAGCCTCCAGTTGCCTTGTTTTGGCCTCAAGCATTTGGAGTCTGTGGTTAGCAGTAGTGAATCTGAATCACAAACTTCATCAAGCACATCGTGCCCTAAAAGTAAGTGATCATGATCAGAAATACACTACAATCACTTTCAGGTTCGGGGGAAAATTCTGTTTTAATGATATACTGAGTCCTACTCTTTTCAGAAAAATGGACCTTGAAATAGTTACGAGTAGAGAAGAGATAGGAAGAGGCAATTATGTTTATGAAATATTGTTTACAACTATGAATGATGACCGTGGGAGCAAGCTGCTGAGGTTGGGAGGAAGATATGAGGTCATCAGGGTTCAAGGAAATGTTTAGATGGGTATTGAAATAGTTATCTAAACGTTTATTGGAACCACCAGGAAATGAAGCAGGAGTAGTATTAGAAAAAGTGACTGACCCAGAAGGTATTTTTGGATAAATAATGGGAATATCCTAGGGGTCTGTAGACCATGGTGAAAATGAAATTTAGTTGATTATAAAATTTGTTTATGTGAGGTTCTAAATTGGATCTTTGAGGTAGGAGGGAAACCGTACTTAGAAAGGAGCCAGGAGGACTCAATACTTACAGGTCCAGTGGGAGAGGGGATGTGGGAGAAAAAAAA